GGGGACCCTGAGTTCTGAAGTAAAAGGAGATTGATAAGGATTGAGAGTGCTCAGACTCTAAAGCCCTTGAGAAGTTCCAGAAGTCTCCTTTAGTACCGCTGCCCCAGGCCCCGAGGGCTCCTTGACCTCCTCAAGCACCGACTACTTTCCTCTAGGCGTGGTCATCCAGCCTGAATCACGTCCCCCACTCACTTCATGGTGGACATGATTGTTTTTCTGTAGAGTTTAAAGATTAGGTTTGAGGCAATATCACTCTATTCGTCTGCAGGGCAGAGAGTGAGAAAAAGAGAGGGTATCAGAACTCTGTGATGGACTAAACAGGCTTTTGTGGGCTAGCCTGGGAACCAGCTTCTTTTATACACATTGTTTCTGTGGAAGATGTATTCTGGGTCCCAGAAACCTTATTACCCACTGACTAGGTGGACATGGCTTATACATTTAGCTTCTTGTAATTTCAAAATAGCTTTGGCATTGGAGAGCTGGGCTGCTTGGAGGAAAAGAAAGGCTCTACCTGCCCTCAGTGTTTCTCACCTCAGCTCTAAATATGTTAAAAGGCCCACCCCACCCCAGCATCTCCATCCCATAATGCACTTTTTTTGGAGACAGGGTCTTCCTCTGTCACCCAGGCTGCAGTGCAGTGGTGTGATCACAGCTCACTGAAGCCTCGACCTCCTGGCTCCTGCAATCCTCCCACCTCATCCTCTTGAGGCAGGACTACAGGCACGTGACACCATGCCCGGCTAATTTTTTGTAGAGCCAGGGTCTCACTATGTTGTCCAGGGTGGTCTCGAACTCCCAAAGTGCTAGGATTACAGGTGCGAGCCACTGTGCCCGGGCCCATAATACGCTTTTTAATGCTAGTAAATTATCCAGGGTCTGGAGGGGTGGGAGTGAAGGAAGGAGGTAGCGGGATATATTGGAGAGAAGAAAAGTGAGAGAACCCCTGCTATGATCTGCTGAGGCTGCCATAATGAAATCCTGCAGACTGGGTGGCTCATACAACAGTCCAAGATCCAGGTGTTGGCCAGATTGGTTTCTTCTGAGGTCTCTCTCCTTGGCTTGTAGATGTCTGTCTTCTCCCTGTGTCCCCACATGGACTTCCTTCTATCGGTCTGTGTCTAAATTTCCTTTGCTTATGAGGAGAGCAGTCATATGGGATTAGGGCCAACCCGAATGACCTCATATTCCATTAATTACTGCTTTAAACACCCTATCTCCAAATACAGTCACATTCTGAGGTACTGGGCATTGAGATTTCAACATATGAATTTTAAAGGACAGAATTCAGCCTGTAACAGGCGCCATTTCCTGTTTGGAATTTCTGTGTGCCTGGCAGGGGATGCTTTAGCTAGAAGTGAGGTGGCCCTCACACAGCATCAAGCACAATGGAAGGTGTAATGACCACCTGCTGCTCCCCACTTTTGTAGCCAATTCTTTGAGATCCCAGAGCAATGAAGTATAGACAGAGCCAGGTTCAGCACATGAAATCTGTAGAAATTTGATTGACACAAAGATGCTGCCGGCTTCTTGGGATCAGGCCAGAGGTGTTGCAAATCGAAGGCAGAGGAATTTCCTAAGCATCTCTAAAGTTATGGCTGAGGCTTCTGTAAATCAGAAAACCCTTCTCCCACTGCAGTGTTTCTCAATCCCTTATCACTGCAACAGCCAGGGTGAGTGGCAGGTGCTTTAGAAAGAGGGGCAGCGGGAGCAAGCCCTCCAGGGCTACTTCTATCACTGAGTTGAAGATGTTGGTCCTTTTGAGTCTCGCCTAATAGTTTCATCTCCCTCTGATGACCGACCCATATGTCCTGAAACATTTTGGGGTGTATCTGGGCTAAGGATATTGCTGGCATCATTTTATATATATAGATCATAAGGAAACCAAAATGGCAGAATGTGTACACGTCACCTGTGGGAAAGGTGAGACTCCTAAGCCAATAGGAAGCAAGTTATGTCCAGAAAGCAGTTATGCCCCTTTTATTTGATAATAAAGGGCAACCAAGCACTTGATCCTAGGAAATAAGTGAGGAAGTGTAGGAAACAAAGTGGATTTGACTCCAGACCTCTGCTGCTTAAGAGGGGAGTCCACTGTAGCTCCCCTCAACAGGAAAAGCCCAACCTTTGGGGCCTGGCACACCTGAATCCATATCTTGGTGGTGTGACCCTGGGTAAGTTACTTAATCTCTTGCAGGCCTCAGTTTTTACATCTGTAAAATGGGGATGACACCCAAATGATGTAATTTATAGAAGTGTTGAGCCCAGTGCCTGGCACATAACAGGTGCCTAGTGCATATCAGCTTCTTCCTTGTTCTTCCTCTCCCAATCTGTGTCTCTGGGTCTTTCTACTTTGCCTGGGGAAGGTGACTGTCACTCTTGCCCCTTCTCTGCAGCATTGGTCATGTAATAAGGCGTAAGAAGCCTGGCATATGCATTATAATTAGAGAGTTTCTCAGTTTTCCTGTCTTTAAATGGTTGGGTTAGATATGGTGATATCTGAGTTGCTTTCCATCTCTGACATTTGTGAATGCTATATTCTATTGGGGTTGTGGGACTTTGGCCTTGGAAATTCATGAGTTAGTCAGGACCCCTTTCATCCTGATGGTCAAAGGCTGGTCTGGATCCCTTAGAAACAGCTATGGGACACACAGACCTCTCCCTACCCCCGACCATAAGAGGAGGGAGGGTGGTGCTGGGGCTGGTGACAGAGCTAAAGGGAGTTGCTAAATTAAACACCACGTCTTACATCAATTCCACAGTGACACTTCTCTACAGAGTCAGGCTGACATTCATTTCTTATAAGAACACTTTGTCAAAATAATTTTTTTATTAAAAAAAGAAAGATTCTTGCCAAGGCAGGAGAACCAGTTCTCCAAGGGAGAACTGACTCAGAGCAAGCTCTAAGCAGGGGTATCTGCTTATTGGCATCTCAGAGATCTGAGCCTGGGGTAGGCGTGAGCTCTGAGAGGTTATTGGCTCCACATCTTGTGCTCCTAGGTCAAGATCCCAGACCCCTCTGTAGGATGGAAGAGAAGATGCTTGGAGCTTGGAGCTCTGGTTCAACCCAGAGGGGGAAGTGACTGCCTCAAGGTCTCATTCATGAGTGAGCACAGCGAAATGGAAAGGACAATAGGCCCATTGGTGCCCCTCTCTCATACTCAGCTTCTTATTTGAAAAGTAAGAATAATTATGCCTAAGCTAGTGGTTATCATGGGAACTAGATTAGAGAGTTTATGGAAAGGTGCCTGGCTCAATGAATACAGGGATGTAATTCTGGAAGGCATAGGAGATCCAAAGGTCTATATACGAGGAAGGAGAATTCACTGGGCTCTTCTACCCAAACAGCTCCCCGGAAGTTCCACTACACTGCTTCCTAGGGCAGGACTGGGGAAGGAGGAGCAACCTATCAAGTACTCATGGGCTCCAGCACCTTCTTTGTGAGTAGGATGTGCTCCTGACCACTGCAACACACTGCCTCCCTAGAAGAGTTGTGAACTTTTATAATGAGAACTCAACCTTTCCTGGGACTTCTGAGCAGTGAGAAGACACCATCTTGAAATAATACTCTAAGTTTGAGGCAAGGTCAGAAGTCGAACCCAGGTCTCTGCTAACTCAGATCAATGTTGGTCTCCCAGGCTCATGGGAACTGTCCCTGGTGCTGACCGCAGGTCCACACTCTCTAGCTTGACTTGGCCTCGCATCTGACTTGGGTTCCCGCCATAAAAGGCCCTTAAGAAGCTGTTTTGGCAGAGGAAGACAAAGCCCCCAGAGGACAAGTGAGTTGTCCAAGGCCACATAGCAGTTCCCTGTGATACTAGAGTACTTCATCACTTACTTCATTGCCCATGGATTCTGCATTTCTAGATTGACATTTGAAACCAGGTTTTAAGCTTATCTTTGTCACCGACTCTGCCAAAGTCATAGAAAGAGATATCTTACAAGTGTGTAGTACTTACTAACTTTTGAAGTGCTCTCACTTTGAATTTTCAAAACAACCTTTTTGAACAAGACAGATAGGATGGAAAATAAGGTAAGACAGAGGAGATTCAAAGAGAGGCTAAGTGGTTTTCTTAAGGCTGCCCAGCTAGTGAGTGGGAGAATCAGGACTGGAATCTGGTTCTTCCAGAGTCTTATGCTGATGTCTTCTGCATGATCCCCATGTGACTTGTTAGGCCAAGCTCAGCCCTGGAAGAAATCTTACTGGGTCCATCTGAGCCTGTGCTCCCATCCTGTTCCTCGGCCTGCTCCCTTGAACCTGTTGGGGGTTCTGGCACACCTGGTCTGGGGCAGATGCCTTCTTCACAGTCATGCCAGGAGGGGAAGGGAGGCAGGCCATTCACGGTCTATTTTCACCTTACACTTCTCCTGGATGGTGTCTGCCTTAGGGATATTGGCAATGAATTCTATGTAAACTGGATAGGGGCCCACAATCTGGAACAAAAAAACCCTTCAAAGACTGGAGAACAGGCATAAAGGAATGTAGTTGGGGGCTGAGAGGAAGGAGGCTGTGAAGGCAAGCAGGAATCAGAGTGAAAGAAGAGCACCCCGTCCCCCGTACCTCATTACAGTATGGTGTCCACCCTTATTAGAGGGCATCATGGCCACAACACGCCTTCACAGTGTATATGGACCCTCTTTGGGCTGGTAGATTATGGAGATATCTATAAGGTGGTTGTAACATGTAGACTGACTCAATAATGGGCTGCAGCCAGGGTACACAGATGTCTCTGCTTTTATCTTATTATTATTATTTTTTGAGATGGAGTCTCACTCTGTCACCCAGGCTGGAGTGCAGTGGTGTGATCTCAGCTCACTGCAACCTCTGCCTCCCGGGTTCAAGTGATTCTCCTGCTTCAGCCTCCCAAGTAACTGGGATTACAGGCATGCACCACCACACTTGGCTAATTTCTGTATTTTTAGTAGAGACTGGGTTTCACCATGTTGGCCAGGCTAGTTTGAACTCCTGACCTCAAGTGACACTCCTGCCTTGGCCTCCCAAAGTGCTAGGATTACAGGCATGACTCACCACGCCCAGCGTCTCTGCTTCTAATACTCAGCTTTTCTCCTCTGTTAATGATCATCACTTCCCAAGAAGAGACCAGTGGAAATTTCCTGCAGCCACTGTGTTTATGAGCAGTGCATGCATGTGATTGGGCACACACTGGCCCACTTTTTCTCTCTTTCTTTTCTCTTTCCTCTCTTTCTTCTTTTACTCATACCCATCCCATCTCTTCATCCAAGCAGAGGTAGGTGAAGACCAAGGGAGAGAGTGGGGGCTGGAGAGGGAGCTGGGTGTGGGGAATTTCAGCGTGACCTTCTTCAGTCATGCGATGAAAGAAAGAGCTGTTTCTCTCCTCCTTGCCCCTCACCCCATCCTTTATCTGTAATAAGCTCCCTTTCCCAGGATTGCCACGGAGGAGGAGAAGGTGGAAAATTATTCCTGTTCTGCTCCTAGAAAACTTTAAAATGCTATCGCCATGGAAACTGCTCTCGAGCAGTCTTGGAGCACGCTTGTGGGAGAGGGTGAAGCAAGGTGGGGGAGGATGAGGATGATGGTGGATGAGACGCTCACAGGGGTCTCCCCACCACCTCAGCACTGTTGGTTCTTCCTGTTTATGTGATGCATGATAGAACCAGGCTATTTCCTTCTGGGGTGAGTGGACACAGAAACTATTCCTGGACCGGAGGGATGTGGGGTCACTGGGATCTGTTTGTCCCCCACAGCAAGCCCGCTCTGACTGAGTTCCGATTGTGTGCATGTGTGCAGGCTCTTTGTGTACGTGTGGCAGGGGAGGAAGGGCATAGAGGTGAAACCACCTTTGCTATCACAATAATTTGCAAGCTAGAGGGTGGAGAAAGAACTGCCACCTCTTTGGAACTTACTACGTGCCACCTACTTTATATATAGTTCCTTTTAAAATCCTTACCTCAGCTGTTAAAAAGACAATTAAACACCCATTTTACAGAAGAGGAAACTAAGGTTCAGGGAAGCCAAGTGACTTGCCCAGGAACACATTGCCAGTCAATGGCAGAGCTGAAATTTGAGAACTGGACACTCTGACTCCAAATGATGTCCAGTTACTATTTCTTCAGTGCCTACCGTGTGTCAGGTGCTGTGCTAGACACTATATTTATCATTCTTGCAGCTGTGTGAACAGAGAGCTTTTATCCCCACATCGCAAAGGAGGAAAGTGAGACTCACTGTGGTTAAATAATTTTCCCAGGGTCACATGGATAAGAGGTGACAGAGCCAGGAGATATATACATATGTATTTTTTGAAGATGGGGTCTTGCTCTGTTGCCCAGGCTGGAGTGCAGTGGTGCAATCATGGCTCACTGAAGCCTCCACCTCCCAGGCTTCAGCAATCCTCCTGCCTCAGCCTCCTGTATAGCTGGGACCTCTTTTTTTTTTTTTTTTCTTAGAGATGGGGTCTCCCTATGTTGCCCAGGCTGGTCTCGAACTCCTGGACTCAAACGATTCTTCTGCCTTGGCCTCCCAAAGTGCTGGGATTACAAGTGTGAGCCACCACACCTGGCCCAGGATTGAAAGCTAAACAGCAGAACTGGGATTTGAATCCAGGTGCATCTGATGCTGCAGCCAGTGCCTTTATCTGCCATACCATGCAGCCAGGGAGTATGCAAGAGAGTGAAGTGGGGCGGGGAATGCAGAGTGTGGGCTGAGGCCAGCTGGTCTCACCTCAGGGCCCAGAGCAAACACTGAGTCACAATATGGGAACCTCTTACAGGTTGTCTCTAAGGCTCACACAGCCCTGGAGAGTTTGGCCCAGAAGTGGGGGGTGAGCAGAAGGCTCCACGATGTGCCTAGTTGATAACCCATCCTTGGGGTGTGGGGGATAACAGGAGATCCTACCTAGACCACAAGGCAGGAGAGTGGTTCAGTGGAAGGCAATGGTGAACAGGAGGAGAACCGTAGAGGATAAAACTCTAAACTTAAGTGGGATATACTTCCTTTCCCACAGGGAAATGGGAAGGAAATACCATATTAATCAGAATAATGGGCAAGGCTATGCTGCAGTAATACACATCCCCAAAGATCAGTGGCTCAATACTCTGAGGTTTATTTCCCATTCATGCTATGTCCTGTCAGTTAGTCTTTGCCTAGTAGCAAACCATTTGAAACTTAGTGGCTCAAAACAAAAAAAATTTAATATTTTTTTCTGATTCTGTGGGTTGACTGGGTGATTATTTTGGTCTGTGCCAGTTCAGATGGGGCTAGATGGTTTACGGTGGCCTCACTCACATGCCTGGGATTTCAGGTAGAACAGTTGGGGCCTTGCCTCACTCCATGTGGTCTTCTCCAGGAGGCTAGCTGAGGCTTTTTCACATAGTGGCAGAAGGGTTCCTTCCCAACCATGAAACAGGGCAAGCTCCAATACTCAGGCACTTCTCAAGCCTCTGCTTGTATCATATTTAAAAATATGCCATTGGCCAGAGCAAATCACATGGCCGAGCTGGTTCAAGCTTTGTAGGAATGGACTTCGTCTCTGGATGGGAGGAATAGCAAAGCCATCTCGCAAAGGGGAAGGCACACAGGGAGGGGAGGAATAAGTCCGGCCATCTTTACAATCTACCTCATGCCTTGCCATCCGGGGCCACTGGATAGATCTGCCCCATGTGTCCCTCATTCCAGGACCCAGGCTGGTCGTGATTCCACCTTATTGCTGCTGATTGCTGAAGCAGGAAGAAGAGAATGTGGTGAATTACACATGACCTCCTAAAGCCTCTATCAAGGAGAGGCACATCACTTCTGGTCTCATTGCTTTGGCCAAAGCAAATCATGGCCATGTCCAATTTCATGAAGGTGGGGAAGTAGGATTCCACCATGTGCTTGGAAAGAGAACCGCAAACATTTGGAGAATGGCACTAATGACTACCACCAGCATCATTTATGGAGTGCTGACTAGATGCTGGGCAATTTAAAAATGTTATCTCAGAATGTTCTCATGGCATCTTTATGGGGTAGGGATTATCATCTCTGTTTTGCAGCTAATGAAGCAGGGCGGTTGAGGAACTCACCCAAGGTTATGCACCCAATAAGAGGCAGAGCCAGCACTGGGACCCAGTTAGTCTGACCCCAGAGGTGGTATCCTTCCTAAAGCATGTTTGTCGCCTACCTCCTCAGAGAGAGGACAGAGGGCATGCTTCACAGGTGACTCAGGCTTCCTGCAAGGAGGTGATGTGGTGACGTTTACATCGTTTGTTCACCCAGTCATTCATTCATTTGGCTCACAGTTACTTAAATGCTACCATGGACAAGAGCAGCAGTGGATAAGACAGACTTGATCCCTGTCCTCATGGTTTAAGATTGGGAACACTCACCTGTGATCCCAAAGGTCAAGGATTTCCTGTTTTCAACTTGAGAAAATGGGGAGTTTCCAAGGTTGAGGAGGCTCACAGGTTTCCTACTCTAACAAGGGTTCCTCACAGATCAGAGGAGCTGGGGAACATTGCCCCAGGATCTGGGCTTCTCAGAAAGCCTGGGGAGCTGGCAGCCTCACTGGTGTATTTTGTAGGAGCTGCATAAATGCTCAGTGATGAGCAGTTAATGAGTAATGCATCCCACATGCTGGACAGAACCTCTCCTGGCGTTCTTGAATCCAGAGAAATTGCCGGGCTCACGCATGAAGCAGAGGGTTCCAGGAACCCACACAGGTGAGTTTCCTGGGCATCTTAAAGCTTGGGAGGGAGGTCACAGTCTTGTTAAGCCACCCATGGCCCTGACAGTCCCCGCCTATGCCACCCTAGATGTACAGTGGGACCCTTTGGGATCATGTGGCCCAGCCTTTTCCCTCTTCCCTCACCATCCTTCAGAGCCCAAAGCTCGTTTATTGCATGTCTGTTACATAGACCTCCAGCTCCCCTGGAACCCTTCCAGGGATGAGGAGCTCACTACCTCCAGAATCCGTCTGTTCTAAAGTCCCTTCTGATTACTTGGCTATTTTGCCCAAGAGCCCACACAACCCACCAGCCACGTGGAGCCAGCACATGCCAAGATGCCGTGCGTCCTGGGTGCAATGACACCCTCGTGGCGGTTGGGCTGCGGGCTGGGGAGGGGGTGTTATGTGAGCACGCATAGCTCCAGGCAGACGGGCCTGGCTCCGCCGGGCTGTCAGAGATGCTGAAGCCTCAACTCTCTCTGGCTCCCAGCAAGTACAACTATTTATAAAAGATGAGATTTGCCAGGGAACAGGGAGAGGCTGAGACATCTGCTCCCTCTGCTGGGGTGGCCGGTACTCACCATAGGCCTCCCAGCCCCAACTCCCTGATTGGAGGAGCCTGCAAAGGCCCCAGCCCCAAAGCCCCAGTGAGCCCCACCGGCAACACCTCTCTGCCCTATCCCCACACCAAATGGACATCTCAGGGATGGAATCGGCAGGATGTTCTTCTCAGAATGGCGGTTCCCTAGTCCTACTCCATCTCAATCCAGCTCTGGGGAGGAGAGGGCAGCTCCTCTCAGAGGGGGAGGAAACTGTGCTGCCTTCCAACTCTGTTTGCCTCCTGGAGAGCTGACCCCTGGCCACCTAGACTTACCTCCCCTCCAAGACTGGGAGTGTCATGAGGGCAGAGACCATGATTGGTTTTCAGGGTTCAGGTGGAACAGGTTCTTGCAGCAGCCAGTGCAGCACAGTGGGTATGGAGCTGGTTTGGGAGCGTTTGGGAACAGGCACAGAGACCTAAGTTCAAATCCTGACACTGTGATCTTCTCTGAGCCTCAACTTTCTCATTTCTTGAATGGGGATGAAAGGAATCCCTGCCTCTCAGCATTGTAAAAATATTGCATGTTAGTTGTTATTATGTCTTCACTGTTTAATGAATGACTGAGTTCTGAACTGTGTTGTGAAATGGATGGAACGCTAATTACGAGTCAGAAGACCTGAGTCCTGCCACTGCCAGTACAAAGTGCTGTGATCTTAGGAGCTAGATTCCTCCTCTCTAAGCCTAAGTTTCATCATCTGCAAGATGGGAGTAACAATGACAATGACATCTGCCCTGCCCGACCCCCACCCCTGGATATGTCATGAGGCCAGGATGGGGGAATGTAGGGAAAGACAAACTGCTTTGAGTGTTTATTCTAATGACAGCCACGCCATGGGTGACCGAACGGTGGGAGAGTGGAGAGAGTCAAAATAAACAGACCTCAAAAAATGAGTATCTTCGTGCACGGGGAGCTCCATTCAGTGTTCCCCTAACGATGGGTGACTGTCATTGGAGCAAACAGTGCCACCCATCTTAACGCGTTTTCTTATCTGTAAAATGGGAGTAACAATATATCCTTCAGGAGACAAACAACAAGTTCCCTGAGCACCTTGGAGACAGAGAGGAAGGCTGAGGGCCCTGCAGGGGATGGCTGGGGAGATGCTTCCTGGGAATAAATGAATGGTGGGGGTACAATGATAGTAACTGGTTATGGACACCAACTGCTTGCCCTGCCGGGGCATTCACTGTGTTCTTTCTAATACAAAAAAACCACCAATGAGGCTTTATTTAATCTACAAATTAACACCTTTATTTTGTAGATGGAGAAACTGAGGCACAGGGAGTTATGTAAAGTCACAGGTTTGACAAGTGGTGGAGCCAGGAATGGAACTCCATCTCCCTGGCACTAGGGCCTGGCTTCTAAGGTCACATCGTGCTTCACCCGTGGAAAATTCCCAGGGCCCCTCTAATAAAGGTTATCAGGGAGGGTCCAAGAGAGATTGGGCCATTTTCTGCAGAGTCAGCGGTCTGGGATGGGCGAGCAGCTTCCCAGGCTGAGGCTGTCAAAGCCCCTTTGGGCAAAACCAAAGAGGTCTGTTTCAGAGGCAGTGAGGCCCAGGGCGTGGTTGGCAGGGCTCCTGTGGTGTAATGGGTTGAACTGTGTTTCCCAAAAGATATGTCCAAGTCCTGACCCCCAGGACCTGTGAATGAGACCCTATTTGGAAGCAGGGTCTTTGCAGATGTAAGGGAGTTCAGGATCTTGAGACGAGAGCATCCTAACAGGTACCTTCATAAGAGAAAGAAGAGGGAGATATGAGAGAGACCCAGAGGAAAAGGCCACGTGAAGACAGGGGCAGAGACTGGGGTGATGAAGGGCAGAGACGGGGGTGCCACAGGCAAAGGAATACCAAGCACCCCTGGGAGTTGCAGGAGGCCAGGAAGGACCCTCCCCTCGAGCCTCCAGAGACAGTCAGCCCAACCGACACTGATTTTGGACTTTTGGCCTCCAGAACTGTGGGAGATTACATTTCTGTTGCTTTAAGCCTGTTTTTGGTTATTTGTTATGGAGGCCCTGGGGGGAGAGCAGATGCCTGGCCAGGCCCCTAAATGTTATAGTGGGCCTGTCGTTGATCACACTGATCCTTCCTGCAACCCTGGATGACCTCTGCTTTAGGTCTCCCCCTAGGGAAGGTGAATTACTAATATCTTCTATTCCATTTCCTGGTGCACTAACTCTCTCTTTGACTTTGGACACACAAATTTTCTTTTTCCTTTAGGGACCCACTTTTCCCACCAGTAATTGGGAGGGTTGCTCCCTTATGCAGGAGCTGGAGTGGAAAGGGGTGTAGGGGAGCGGGAGGGGGTCCCTCCAAGCATCTTGATCCTTCTGCAGTTCCTGGGATTGGGCTGAGGTGGAATATTCTTGGCAGGAAAAGCTGGCTCCTGAGATTTCAGGAAAATAAGAGCTTTTCTGGGAGAAAAGAAGGGTGTGATGTGCTTTAATGCCTAAAAAGGCTTTGCTAAGCAGCAGATTGTTTCAGGGAGAATGGAAAGTGAAGAGACACTCCTGGAGGGGGTGGGCGGGACCCTGATAGGTGTCATGGAGTACTGGATGGGGCAAGGGTTCCAGCCAGAATCTGGTGTTCAGAGATCCTGGCTGATGGAGAATTCCTTGACCCTGTCCCTGGAGAGTGAGATTGGGCTCCGCCTCTTGGGATGGCTTTACACCAAATCTTACTTGGAGACAGAATGAGAGACAGTGCATTACTCCCAGTCCCCAAATGAATCATGAATTAGGGGTGTGTCCATTTGAGTTGAACCTTGAAGGATGTGGTAGAAATTTTTTTTTATAAAAGTTATTCCTGGAGAAGTGAAGACCCCATCCTGGGTAGAGTTGAGAATGTGGGCGGCAGCCCAGCGGGAGGTAAGGTTAGAGAAGCAGGAGATGTGGCTGGAATGAGCACTCACATTTTCTGCAGGCTACTGAGATGCCAGGCACTGCGCTGGGTTTCATAGGTTTCTTTTCCTTGTATCCTCAGCACAGTCTTACAAGGTAGGGATTACAATGTCCACTTTACAGAGGAGAAAATGAAGGTTCAAAAAAGGTCAGTAAATTTTCCAGGGACATAGAGTATGTTAGGGGAGCTGCCTGAACTTTGTGGAGCCAGGTTTTGGAGGATCTTAATAGCCTGAAGAGGTGTTTAAACTTGAGGCAACAGGTAATAGGGAGCCATGGTAGGTGTTTGAGCAGGAGCATGGCACAATGAAAAGGATGCCAACAGACACCTGGCAGCTGAGGGGAAGACTAATAGTAAAATAGTAATACAAAATAATAACCATGATAATAGGAATGAAAGACTCAGGAGTACCTTGGCTGCCTTAGCATTCTTCTAACACAGGGCACCTGGAGGTCAGGCTGGAACAAAGGTATGCCCAGGATGTAGAGAAACCTGGGAGGCAAGGGTGGGTGGAGTCAGAAGAGGGAGAGGGTATTAGGGAGCAGGGAGAGAGGACTGATGGGATCTGCTGGCTCAGGGTGGAGAGAAAAGAGCAAGATAGGACTTTAAGAGGGACTTTGGGCTTTTTCTTCTGATACCCAGCCAGGACCAGGAAGGCAGCTCTGTCAGGCCTAGGGTCAGGTGTGGCTTGACCACTACCCAGCTGTGTGATCTTGGGTAAATCACTTCACTTCTCTGAGCCTCTCTCTGCTCATCTTTCATATCCAGAGAATATATTCTTCCCACCTCGACCCCTGTCAAAAAAAATGTTGGTTGTGTTCCATTTTCCCTCTTACTGGCCCAGAGCTACCACTTGGAGGGCAACTGCCAACCAGGGAAACCACTTCTGTCTCTCCAGCTCCTTTCTGGGGTAGGGAAGGGGGAGCAGCTTTCCTTTGAAAGGGACATTTGAACTGGCCATCTGAACTGAAAGCAGGGATGCAACAGCTGGAAAAGGGTAAAGAAAGGCATTCCTGGAAGGGAACATAGCATGGGGAAAGGCCTTGCTCCTGAGAGCTTCACTGCTGTCTGATCAATGTGTGCCTCTCTCTGGTCTGTTACTGTACACTCTCCAACAGCTCCTGTACTCCAGTACTTACGGGCCACTTGCAAGTAGGGCCTGTACCCATTTCTCAGCTGAGATAAGTTGAGGCAGGAAGAACATTGCTGCTAAGGAGGGTGAAAGAAGAGGGTGCCGAGGCTCTGTCAGCGCCGCAGGCAGTAACGAAGCTGGCAGGGAGCAGGCTGTGAAGGGAGGGCTTGACGGCAGTCACATTATTTTTGTTCCCAAATTGAAATTAAAGATCATTTCAACTCCAGATGCTGGAAATGCCTGGGTTCATTACTTCTTGGGATTTTGTCCACGCTCTCGTTCTAGATTCAATTAAAGCAATTTAAAGTAATTAATTAAATTTGTTATTTGATTAATAAAGATAGAAATTCAGCTAAGTTGCTGTGAAGGAGGAAGCCATGTTGGAATTTGCTAGCAGAGGACTTGGAAAGACTCATTTCTGCCTCCTACTCAACCTTCTCCCCTTGCTGTTCACCCACTGTGTCACCTCTGGACCCCCCTACCCTTTCAGCTAGGACTCATGAAGCAGAGCTTCAAGGTCAGGGTTCGAAGTGTGTGGATGTGTTCTGGGAGCAGCAGGGAGGCTGGGGTGCTAGAGCAGTGTGATCCACAGCTGGAGAGACAGGGGATGAATAAGGAGTGGTGACAGCATTGCTCCTCTGGAGGGGCAGGGTCCTGAGTAGGGGCCAGAGGGCTTTGGGCAGGCTAGGAACACGCTGTACATGCACAGAAGCAGGGGAGCTGGAGAAGTGGCAAGATGTCAAAGACCAAACTGCGGGGTCAGGGGATGGAGGAAACAACAGTGAGAAGGGGAGTGGGGTGTCTAGCCAAGGCCAGGTTGAGCTGTCCAGAAGAGGCTGGGTAGAGGTAGCAGGTGCCGGCATTGACAGTGGGTCAAACTAGAGTGGGAAGGTCAAGCCAGACACCAGCATGAGGAGTCAGTGTGGGTCAAGGTTTAAAACTCAGAGGGTTTCTAAGTATGACCCAAACCGCAGATACTCCAGAAAATTTACATCAGTAAACATAATGACATTTGAAAAATCTGCATGGAAATAAACACCATAAGCAGAATCAAAAGATAAGTGAAGTACTGAGAAAAATACTTAAAGGTCATATCACAGACAAAACCTAAATTCCTTAATATATAAAGAGCTCTTCCAAATCAATAAGAAAAAGAAAAATAACCTAGAAAAGAGGTCAGGAATGGGCAGTTTGTAGGAAAGGAAGTACAAATGCCTCTTAAGCATTGTGCAAAATTCCTCATTCTCTTCCATAATCAGAGATGAAAATGAAGAGTAGCCAATCATTTCATTGTTATCCATCAGATTGAGCAAGTTTCAAACATATAATAATATACTGGGTTGAAATTCGTGTGGAAAAATAGGCATCTCAAATAATGCTGTTACTACTTCTATGGAGGCTAGTTTGACATTATCTATCAAAATTATAAATTCATGTATTCTTTGACCTAGAGATTCAGCTTCTTGGAATTTATCCTACAGATAACATGGTGGTTTATTGTGTCACTGTTTGTAATAGTTTGATAGGGAACAACAGACGAGCCCAGGCATAGGCAGTTGGCAAAGAAATGATGGTGTGGCACTCTGGGAGACCGAGGTGGGCGGATCCCCTGAGGTCAGGGGTTTGAGACCAGCCTGGCCAACATGGTAAAACCCTGTCTCTACTAAAAATACAAGAATTAGCTGGGCATGGTGGTGGGCACTGTAGTCCCAGCTACTCAGGAGGCTGAGGCAGGAGAATCACTTGAACTCGGGAGGTGGAGGTTGCAGTGAGCCGAGATCACGCCACTGCACTCCAGCCTGGGTGACAGAGTGAGACACCATCTCAAAAAAGAAAAAAAAAATGATGGTGTATCAAGGCAATGGAATGTTATATAGCCATTAAAAGAAAGAAGCTCGCAACGTCCTATGGGAGGACTGCCAAAACAGGCTCTTGGGTAGACAAAGAGCAAGATGCAGAACAGTGTGCATGATAGAAAAGTCACATAAATGCATGAGCATTTTTTTTTCTTATGAAGGTGTAGAGAATCCTTAGATTGCTAGGGTCTGGGAGCAATGGTTGCCTCTGGGGAGGGGAACTCAGTGACTAGGAGACAAGAGAGAGGGGGACTTACTCTTCCCGGTATACACCTTTCTGTCTTTTGAGTTTTGAACCAAGTGTTTCCTATTCAAAAGAATAGGAATAAAATCACAACGAAAGAAAACCACCCCAGGCCGGCACCAGCATGTAAGGATGTAACAAAGCCAGGGTCAGACTTTGCTGGGACTTTGTTGGTCAGCCTTTCTCTCTGGATCTTAATTTCCCTATCTGTAAAATCAGACCATTTGGACCAGATGGTTTCTAATGGGCCCTTTGAGCTGTAAGAAGTGGAGTTTATGTGGTTTCATCCAGGGCTGGAGGATCACTGGGTCTGCAGGAGCCACACAGGCAATGGGGTCATGGTGTCCCCGCATCACCTCCATGTACACAGCATTTGTGGTTTACAAGAAGCTCTCCTGCATTTTCTCACTTAGGCCTCACAACAACCCACGAGATCAGTGATGACTGCCCCCATTCGCCAGCTTTGCAGGGAGAGATCAAAACCAAGGCGATCTTCAGGCCCAAGGGAGGCAGGGAGGAGGCTTGCCGAGCCCACCCCTGTGAAGAGGTGAGGACCAGACCCTTTTGGAAGCCTCCTCAGGCAAGGCGTCTATGTGTGCTGTCTCACTTCATCCTTGAGCAGCTCTGGGAGGAAGGTACAGTTATCCTTGCTTTACAGAGAAGGAAACTGAGGCTTGAGGTGGGGCTCAGAAATGGGGCTGGAGTACCTCATCATTATCTCAACTGCCCTTGCTTGCTGGCCTGGAGGATGAGGCTGGGACTGAATTCTGGGCTTGGCCTGTCTCCACTGAGCCTGGCTGGCTGCCCTGCCTGTTGGCAGTGTGGAGCTTGGGTGCCGAGTTGGGCATCTGGTGGGCTGGCTGGAGCTGGAAGACCCTGGGAAAGATGAGGTGAGCAAGGAGCTTGGTTCTTAATTTGGAGAGAGTTTGGAGAGAGGGTGGCAGACACCTCAGGGGAGGGTAAGATTGGAGGACAGTTCCAAGGAGGGGCTTTGAGCCAGACTCTCCTCCATTGGTAAGCAGAGGGCTGAGTGGGCTTTGGAAGGAGGGGGCACTATGACTAAAGTAGGGAATACGTGCAACACCCCGCAAGGGGGAAACACACTTTTCAGCATTCTGAGAGTTAAAAGGGATAACTCACCTCTGGTAACCATTGTGAACCTTGGATTATGCCGGGGATGTGGAACAATTCAGTCTTTCTCTGATGGTTGGGATGGGGTGAGGGAGTTCCTTCCAGGGCTGTGGTGAAGCCGCTGCTGACCCCAGTGAGGACAAGGGCAGCTGCTGATATGATTGGCGGGACCCCCAAAGGCTTTAAAATCTCAGCTGTCTCTCACAGGGCTACACCCAGGGCTTTAAATTATTTGGAGCACAGATACTGTGCAGGAGCCTCCTGGGGGAGGCCCAGCCTCTTAATGTGGTTCACCAGCATGGCTTCACTCAAAACAGGGGATGTGTTAGCCAATAAGGGAGCAGAGAGAAGCTTCCCTGATTCAGTTCTACCTAGGGGCAGACCACAGTGGAGAGAGATGGGGTGCAGGGGATAGGGGTGAGCTTTGATAGCATGAAGGAGTAGAAAGAACCCAAGTTACGAGACCCGCTTCTAGGGCCAACACCATGTTCACTGGCTGTTACACTCTGGGCAAAGCCTTTCTCTCTGGGTCTTAATTTCCCTGTCTGTAAAATCAGACCGTTTGGACCAGATGGTTTCTAATGGGCCCTCTGAGCTCTAAGAAGTGAAGTTGATGGGGTTTCATCCAGGGCTGGAAGATCACTGGGTCTGGAGGGGCCAGATGGGCAATGGGGTCATGGCGTCCCTGCATCACCTCCACGTACGCAGCATTTGTGGTTTACAAGAAGCTCTCCCTGCATTTTCTCACTTAGACCTCGCAACCACCCATGAGATATGTGATGATTGCCCCCATTTGCCAGATGAGAAGCTGAGGCTCGGAGATACTGAGGAACGTGTCGAGCGTGGTAGGGAGGGGATGTGGGAGTGAAATCCGGGTCAGAATGGCTTTAAGACATTTTCTTTGCCTTGGGCCACAGCTGCCTCTTCCTTGTTTATGTTGTGGTTTTGGTGGAGGTAGAGGGACCCCATCACTTCAAGTCCCTCCTCTGGGAAGCAGACCTTGTTCTTAGGTCCTTACTCTGGAGCTACTCAATCAGGCCAGGGCCTCAGCTGGACCCTCGAGTGGCTGTTTTCACCTCATGGTACTCCACGTGGGCATATGACATTCCCTCTCCACTGCCTTGCAATTAGATGTGGGAGGCCTGGGCGGTTGACTCACCTCCTCCTACTCTCAGCCCATCCTGGGAATCTCATGGGGACCTCAGGTCTCCTACGCTAGCTAGTGTGGGCATGGCCAGGCCAACCATGCCCTCCTCTCTCACTCCAGGCTGGGCGAAAGGGCACAAGTGTGTCTGGGAAGCCATTTCTCCCTGCCCACAGCCGTCCTGGTTCACGCTGTGACCTCAGCTGCCATCCTTTCCATTACCTGCTGTATCCAGGACAACCGACAGCTCCTACTATGCAGGGAGGGGAGGATGAGGGGTGGGAAGGGGTAGGTTCACTGTCCTGACTTCCCGGTGAGGGTGCCATCTGTTCTGTCTGAGAAACTCATGGCGGGAGGGAGAACCTCGGGCCCTTCATGAGATGTAAGAAGGATTGTGGAGGCCCTCGGAGGTTGAGGAAGAGGCTGATTTGTAAACCGGAGCCCTGGGCTCTGTCTGTTCCAGCCTTCGTGGAGTGGCAAGAACAGCAGGAAAGTGGAATTAAAGGAACCGGGCTGGATGTCCTCCACCATCTCTCAGCAGCTGTGTGACCTAACGTAGGTCCCTTGACATCTCTGAGTTTCCGCACAGAGATGATGGATTCATAGACTCACTAGGGACCTGCAATGAAAATAAATGGACTTTGTAAACACTAAGGCTTTAGTGTTAAGAGCACATGCTCTTAAGTGCACAGAAAGGTTGGGTTTGAATTCCAGCCTGTTGTGTGACCTTGGACAAATGACTTCACCGCTGTGTCAGGTGCTTTTGCTATGCAGCAAACACCTCACAGCTCAGTGGCTTAATGCAACAAACATTCACGTAGCTTACCATTTGGGAATCAGCAATTTCCACTGGGATCAGTTGAGCTGTCCTGGTCTGGGCAAGGCTTGAATGATCTTGGCTGGCCTCACTCATGTGTCTGCCATTAGCTGGTGGATCCCTGGAACTGGCTGATTAATTTGGCTTCCTCTGGGATGATGAACTACGGGGCTCTCTCCATGAGCCTGGGCTTGTTCACAGAGCGGTAAAAGGACTTCAGTCAGAGGCAGTGAGAGAGAAGCCCCGGTGTGCAAGCACTTCTCCAGCCTTTGCAGGCATTATGTTTGCTCCTTTCTTTTTATTTTTTAAGACAGGATCTCTGCCTGTCACCCCGGTTGGAGTGTAGTGGTATGATCATGGTTCACTGCAGCCTTGACTTCCCAGGCTCCAGCGACTCTTCCACCTCAGCCTCCTGGGTAGCTGGGACCACAGGCAGCACCACCATGCCTGGCTAATTTTTGTATTTTTGGCAGAGACAGGATTTTGCTATGTTTCCCAGGCTGGCCTCAAACTCCTGAGCTCAAGCGATCCATTTGCCTCGGCCTCCCAAAGTGCTGGGATTACAGGTGTGAGCCACCGCACCTGGAATGTGCTTGCTTCTTTCTTATTGGCCAAAGTAAGTCCCATGGTCAAGTCCTGAGCCAGGGTGGGAGGGCACTGCCCAGGGTAGTGCACGAACAATTGGGGGCCATTACTGCAATAATCTATCATAACTCTCTGGGCCTCAGTTTCCTCATCTGTAAAATGAGCATAATCTTATACTTTCTCAAGGCCTTATTGTGAGGGTTGAAAAGAAATGAGCACATGTCTGTAAAATGCACTCCATGACTCATAGCCAGAGAAGAGTAAGTTCGTTAAGAGTGAGCTGTTGTTAATATTGTTATTAGCAAGGACTTTGAGAGAGACAATTTAAAATCTCATGCAGCAGGCTCTGGGCTGTGGGCCCTAGGAGCCAGCCTTGGGCCTCCTTTTCCACTCAGGGGATGTGGGAGGTGCCAGGGAAGGTGGGTCCTATGGAGGGGTCCAGTGTCTTCCCTATTACAGCCCCTGATGGAAATCTGGGCTTTGTATCTCTTCAGAACTGCTCCTAGTCTTCCCCAGGATCCAAAGGAATGACTTTGCTCCTTCCACTTCCCTTCTCTCCCTCCTTCTGGGCTCAGAGGACTTTATTATTATTATCTTGTTAAGAGATAGGGTCCTGCTTTATCACCCAGGCTGGAGTGGAGTGCCGTGATCCTAGCTCATGGCAGCCTTGAACTCCTGGGCTCAAGCCATCCTCTCATCTCAGCCTCTTAAGTAGCTGGGACTACAGATGCATGCCACCAAGCTAATTAAAGCAATTCTTTTTTTTTTTGTAGAGATGGGGTCTCACTATTTCACCAGGTTGGTCTCGAACTCCTGGGCTCAGGCAATCTTCCCGTATGGGCTTCCCAAAGTGCTGGGATTACAGGTGTGAGGCTCCGCACCTGGGTTCAGGGTATTTTTGATGAGGAAGAAAGTGGTCTGGGAAAAAAAGTGCCCACCTGAGGTGCTTGGTTCTGGGAGGAACTCCAAGTACCTGTTAAGCTGGGGTTCCAAAACTTCTCCCCATCAAAGCTCACTTGGATCTTCAGGGGACAATTTGCATTGTGTTCCCTGCCACATTTTTTTCTACCACAACCTACATGCACGGGGAAGCCAATGGCTGTCACAAGCTCATTTAATGCCATGTAGACACTGGCAGTACTGGTCACATAAGCTGGAGTTGGGTTGGGGTCTGTGATGTCATCAATAGCTAACCAGAGTCCCTGGACGGCTGGGAAAAATCAATGAGGCTGCCATCTTGGCGAGCTTGTGTAAGCTGTCCCAGGGAGGAGAGGAGGGTTGATTTTGTTATACTTTTTAAAACCATGAAAACAGGATTCACACAACTGCCTTCATAGAGCCCGGCTTAGCAACCACAGGTCTGGTTCAACCTCTTCATTGTGTGCTTCTAGGGGTCCTTTCTGAGCTCACCTAGGGAGCCCAAGAAAGGAGGGTGGCTGGCTCTTCATTCTTCGGGTCTTCATTCTTCCTTGTGTGTTAGGTCCCCTGTCTTAGACACTGGAGATGGGACAGTGAGCCAATCAGATGCAGGTCCTGCCCTCATGGAATTTATGGTCTAAGGGAGATACAGCTTAACTGATCATAAGAATAAATGTAAAATTATATGGCCAGATGGTTTTCTTTTTTGAAATATTAATCTTTCTTCCTTCTCTGGCATTTCCTCTTTCTTTATAGGGCAGTTGGACTCAGGAAATTCACTGCTGCAGGGTAGGGATGACTCAGTGGAAGTCAGTAGTCAGTTCTTGCCTTTTGAGTGTTAAAACTGAAGCTTGAATGTGTGTGTAGGGGTAGGGGGTGGAGGTGGTGGTGGGTGGTGGAGGATGGAAAAAATTAGGTAAAAACCCAAAGATCTGGAAGGTGCAGGTTGATT